CTTAGGTGTTCAAATTTAAGTGCCATAAACTTAAACATATGAGTTATATACTTAGGACATTATATACAAACCTCATGGAAACCACACACCAAAAACCTATGACAGATACACAAGAAATAAAGTGAAAGAAAGACAAAAATAATACCAAAGTGGTCAATCACGAGAGCAAGAGAAGAAAAAAACTACAAAACCAGAAAATAAACAAAATGGCATTAAGTACATATGTATCAATAATTACTTTAAATATAAATGGTCTAAATGATCCACTCAAATAAAATAATTGTTACCTTTTCCTCTAACTGGTTAACTACGAGTTTTCTAGGCTTACTTTCTAGGTTTTTGACTTACCACAGGAAATAACTTTTTAGTTTATCAGTACTCCTCTCAATTTTTTTCTATCGTAGAAAACTTGGGATACAAGATTTTAAAATAAAATAATAAACTCCAATCACTCTGCCACAAACAGTGAACACTTACCAATTTGCTTTTTCTTTCTGTCTTCTAAATAATTTGGGGGATCATACCGAATATCCAACTTTTCTCAAGTTACAAAACTTTCTCCATGATGTAAATAGCCTTTGAAAAAATAGAACTTATTGCTTACATAGGTTACACTATAATTTAACCACCTTCTTTCCGTCTTAAATATGGCTACTAGAACTAAGAATGAGCTTCTCACTGTGTTCTACTTATTACAAGGGAAATATTAGTTTTGAATCCTGGGTCTCTGTATTTTCATTTATGTAGCCTAGGATCATTTTATTTTTTAAAGGAGCCATCGCACCATTGTTATTTTTTATTTGCTGGAAAAAAACCCAAAAGTACAATTCTATTTCTGGCCATTTGGTAGTTCAGATGCTCTTAAAAGCCCCTTAATTATAACTAAGTCAATAAATTTTAATAAACTTGCCTTTTAATGCACGGTTAAACTGACAGAATGAAAGGGAAATCCCCAAGAAATAATTCTACCTACCCCACCTCACTCACCAAAAGCATCAGCAAATACAAACTCTGTAAGAGAACTTAAAAACCTGGGTGGCCCTAAGGCAAATACTGAAATCACCTCAGTGAAGGGGCTTTAGGGGAGCCAAATATGAAATAGCCCCATTAATAAGTAGGGCTCCTTAAAGGAACCGTTGTTAGGCTGGAAAAAATATCTGCCAATAAAGAAAGGTTACCAAGAAACAGGCCTGTCTTTCATGCACAGCTACAAGAATTGTAATGATAATGGTCTTTGGTGAGGATTTGCAACTACAAGCCTATCCTCAAATAGACTAGAGTAAAAACCCAAAACCAAATTGATTTACAATGGTCCTAGGTTGCTGGCATCCCTGGGGCCTGGCAGATAAACCCATCCTCTCAGGAGGAAAGCATCCAGTATTCACACTGATAAAATACATGTTAAAATGAAAAAAAAATTATAACTGCATATTCATATACGTATATAAAATCAAACACATGTAGAAGCAATGCTATCATGAATAAAATGCTAGGGGAAAAAAAGATTTAGAACCCCCATGCCTTCAGATACTGGAATTATGTTTTGAATGCAATCATATTTGGTTGCATATAAAAAAAATGAACCCAGATAGGATATATTAAAAAATGAACACATTTTAAGAGAAAGTTAGTAGATCCTTTAGAAATGTATAATGAACTAAAAACTCAATGGGATGCTAATATTAAACAGAAGATTAGATCTTGGGTACCTGAGTGGCTCAGTCAGTTAAGGATCTGACTCTTGATTTCAGCTCAGGTCATGATCTCAGAAACATGAGATTTAGCTGTGCAACAGGCTCCACACTGCGCATAAAGCCTGCTTAGTATTCTCTCCCTCTCCCTCTGCCACCCGACTACCCCCCGCCCCCCCACGCCCCGTCTGTGCCTGCTCTCTTTCCAAAAGAATAAAACCCCAGAAGATTGGATCCAACTAAAGCCTTAATGAACTGGAAGACATCTGAAGATCACATATAATGGAATACTACACCGACTAAGATGAACTATACACACTAAAATGAACTACACATAAACATGGATAAATCTTAACAGCACTGAGTGAAAATGAAAGTCTCAGTAGATACCATGCAATATTCAAAATACTTAAAAGCAGGATGTTTATAAATCATATGAACTAAGGTTAATATAGGTTAACGTGCAAATCAAGTAAAATAATCTTTTATTCTTTACATTAAAACTTTATCTAAAGTGATGAAAGTAGCACAAATCACTCAGCAATCACTAATAATTTCTAAATCACTTCGAACAGCTGGGCTGTTTTAATTTTTTGACTGACTCTCACCAGCTAAATGATACCCTCATTATTTGACATAGGGCTGCAAATTCTTCCAGTGACCTCCCCCATTCAACTGATAGTCCTTAACTTATGTGCTGTTTGGCACCTGAAGAGAAGGTACATGCAACCAATCCCCATCTTACCTCATTGGACAGGACAGTGCCATCTGAGTGCTGGCTGTATGCCAAGAACCAGGGGTAGGAGCCCCCAGCTAGAGGAAAGAATGGTGGGGGGGGGGCGGGGAGGACTAGTTGGGTGCGGATTGATGACCCTTGTTGCCAGAACTGGGAACTTGTGTTTTATGACTGTCTCATTCCACACCCAAAACTGGGTCCCACACTGGCCAACCAAGAAAGAACCAATGACTGGTTGGATGCCTATTACGATTCAGAACAAAGGAAGAAAGGGATAGCAAAGGGAATAAATAACCGGGCAAGTCGGCCAGGGCTTCTGCTGGCCTGGTCAGGCCAGTGACTGTAAACTTGTAGAAGTGTAGAGGGCAGACAAACATGATATTCCTGGTTTGGAGATTTGCCAAGGGAAGAGCGGAGGAGAAAAGAGCAGGAGTTGTGCTTTCACCTGCTGGAGAATACAGTCTTCTGGTATAAGCATCCGGGAAAGTCTCCTGACACCTCTTCAGTGCACAAGGCAGGCCACCCTCTACCACAAATAAGCTGCCAAAATGGTAAAAAAACCAACATCTAAAGGGCTATCACTACACTACAAAAGGCTATGTTCCTAACACTTGTGCCTACCTACCCACACTCCCTTCCAATCTTCCAGCTGCTACCAGAGCTTAGACACATCTCCCTGTGAGCAGGATGAGGCATTTCTTGCGGAGGATGAACAGAAGAGATCTCCATTAGTCTGGTTGCCCAGATTCTTCTCCCACTCAAGGGCTTAACAAAACCAGAAAAAATTTCCCAAAACCTGAATACCAAATCTCTAATAACAAAGACCTTCAGCTTTGTCCCCAGTGCTCAAACCAGAAATACATCACTAAGTATCATGTGTGGTTGCTGAGAGAAACCCCATATGCTGGAACTTAGTTCAGTTACTCCTTTCTGGAATTACTGTTTACCAATCGGTATGGAAACATTTCAGTATTTAGTATTAACCATGGCTGTATTAGTGTGCACTGGCTGAATATCAGGCCTGCACAGAATATGCAACATCTTTACTCAAAAACATGGAAAGCTAATCAAGTTTAGGAAAAAATAACCCTTGTGGTAAAACCACGAGAAACTAAGAAAACAAAATCTAAGAAATTCAGGATAATGGCTAACCTTGAAGGAGAGGGAGATGGTAATTTTCTATTTAAATTGAGTGATAGACTTACATTAATTATGTATGGTTCATAACATACACATATTTTCCACAAGATGTTTTCCTCAGGATTGACATTCTGGGTTTACCATATCAGCTCATTGCAAGCTCCCATTTCTACAAAAATGCTATCACTATCTTACAAAAATGAGTAAGAAATCCTGTCAAATCCTGAAGCTATGCTGAAATCAAGACATTTAGGTGTATTGAGTTTCCCAATTGTATCTAAAGAAAGGAATGAGGCTAATTTGATGTGGCCTTTTTTTTTAGGACCTAGGTCAGTTACCCATTATATTTTCTCCTAAATGCTGGCAAAATTATCAAGTACTTTTAAGAGCTGTCAAACTTCCCAGAATTTACTGTTCACATTTTGTATTTTTCCATCCCTAATCTTTTGGCACCTCTTATATTTTCTGTAGTTTCTTACTCCAGTAACTATACTCAGGAATATATTTGATCCCAGGCATTAAGCTCATTGAAATAGGTTTGGTGTTTCTTTAGCATTTTTTCATCTAAATGAATACCTTTCTCACAAAGAAAATCTATCCCTTTTCAACAAGTCTGGAGATCCTTTCTCTCTTAATATTGTTAAAAGGGCATTATCTTTCCCTAGCAAGTAGGATTTGACTTCCCTGATCTCAATTCAGATAGTAAAAGCCCTTTTCATTGTTTTGAAATTTTGTTGTTAACACCATTTTCCTGCTATTTTGTGTGTGTCCCTACTTCCAAGCCTGGCATGGATCTCTAAATTTTAATCACTACAATTGCAACCCCTCATTGTTCAGGATCAACTCTGAGTTTTAGTAGCTTTTGGGGTTTCTAGAAGCTAATAGTCATGGTTTCATACTTGCCCTTTTAAAAAACTAAATCTTCTGAAATTAAGACTTCCTAAAATGACAGATGTGACACTAATCGTGACAAACACTGCCTTTCCATGCTTTGAAATGCCAGGAAGATACAGATGCTTTCTGATCAGGAATTCAAGCAGAAGCAAAGGAAGTGCTGTCCATTAGGGTAGATCAAGCTATGTGGTATAGGGACACTTCTTATGAATGCAGAGGATAAGATGCCGTAAAAGATATGTTTGTGCAACACACCTATGGTAGAATAAAGATTTTAAAAATCCAAATTACTATATTCAATTTAAATTCACTCTAAAGAACAGTTTACCTTTTCTTACCTTTAGGAAAGTTTAAAGGAAACTACAACTGGAATAAAATTTCCAACTGCTTTGCAAAAAAGGTCACCCAAAACTGATGCTTCCACTTCTGGAACTTGTCATCAACTTTATATCATCAGGAATTTAGCAAATCCAAGAACAAAGTCATTCCATCTCTTTAGTTCACATAGGATTAAGAGATAACACACTATACACCTTAACTGACCATGAAAAGATTGTTTTATTCCATGAAAATATTCTCAACAGAGAACACTATCTTAAACAAAGCATTTACCATTAAATCAACATGTGCACAAAAAGAGTAAAAATTACTGAAAAATTAAAGATTTCTTTTGGACAATTCACATGTTCAAATTTAAGAATGATTTAAGAATGATTTAAACTGTGCAAGTACAAATGTCTGTCCTATTGTAATAATCCATGTACAGGTTGCACTACTCCACGTGAAGGACCTTGCCTCCTACGGAAGCAAATCCTGCTTTGAGAAAAACAAACAGTAGCTTGAAAAGAACAGTTAGTCCTTACAAGAAAGCCTTAAACTTTGCCCTCCGTGGCTGTCAGCCAAAAAAACACAAGCACTTCAGGCTTTGTACAGAGGACAAACACAGTCAGATCACATTTCCTGCTCATTGCTAACCTTTAAAATAAAAACAGCACTAGATTTTAAAACTACTTTATGTAGTCTGTCAGTACTGAATAATGTCACATTATATAAATAACCCTGTAAAGAGATTCAAAGTCTAAACTTTATAGTTTACTAGCCTCAAAGGTAATACACTATATGTCAGCTGTGTAACAGGGGTATACTTGATTATGAAGGCATTAACTTTCACACAATTGTCATTCAGTTTTAGTATAAGTGGTAGTACAATTCAAATAACACTGGGGAAAAATTATTAAAGCAGTCACACAGCTTCTAAAATATTGCTTAAAATTCAATAATACACAGACCATTTCACGTTCCTTCTTCCCTCAAAACAGTAAAGAACAAAATTAATGAAGCTTCTGTGGTACAAATATCACCCTCCCCCCAACCCATGCCCATCTCCCTAGGAAACACCACTAAGAAATTAGTTAAGATACACGTCATTAACAGAATCACAAATGTGAGGCAGGACAACATGAGCAACAGGAGCACTAACAACAATTATATTTACAAGTATAAACATACAGAAATTTCCATTTTACAATTAAAAGTGCACAAAGATCATTACAAAGTTTCACTAAATTTTATCTGGTTCAAACAAAAGCATCACTTGAAAACAGACTATCATTGTAATAATCAAATAAGAACATGGTCACCCCAAATTAAAACACAATGGGGGGGGTCCATAAAACTTCTCATAAAAACACTGAGTAAAGTAAAATGGACTTGGACATGTCTTTAGCTTGATGCATAAATTTGAAGATGCACCATCAAACATGGTAGAGCTCTAAAAGCCACCTACCAAGGCTATACCGGCATCCGCAGCAGCGCTGCCGAGTTAAAGGAGGTCGCACTGAGCTGACACCTAAAGCCCTTTGTGGGATACTGTAGTGGTAGTGTTGGCAATCAACAGATTTAGGCACTCTAGTTTAAGGCAGCATTTGAATGGAAGCAGCTGACTTCTGACAACAGTCCTTTGTCTTGAGGTGGTGAGTATCTTGCGTGTTTATGATGCCAGGATTTCAGTGCTGACTATAGATTCTTCTCAGACTGAGGTGAAGATATATCACGTTTCAGAGTTCTTTCAACTGGGCTGTAGGCTAGAGCAGAGATGTTTTCTTTTTCTTATCATAATTACTTCAGGTTCACAAACTACATCTTCATAATGCCAAAACTGGAATGTTTGTAGTGGGGAAGTTATAGCAGCGTACACGAATACTAGGATGGAAACATTAGTGCTGGAGATGTCTGACACAGTGACTCACACTACAAATGTAAAACAAAACAAAGACTTTGACAAGAACAAGGGATTATAAAGACATGCCTGAAAAATCTAGCCCAATCGCTCTAGACATGCAACAGGATGTTAAGCAAGCACAGAGGTGGCGCAGGCAGACACTGACAAATGGCAAGGGTTCTAACAGACAACAGGTCTAAAAGCCAATTAAAACAGAGCTGGGACAGATGGTCCTGTTGGGACAGCCAAATGTAAGACAAATTTCATGACAGCTCTGCATTCTTTCTGATTTAGACATCAGTAAAATAAATGGAAAAATGGTTAGCCATTTTTGGCTTTTTCCCCTTTATATGAATAATTGTGAATGAGGAATTTAAGGACTGGTATTACAATGATTCTTTAAAACAATGTATGGAAATGATAATGAAGTTAGTAAAAAAAAAAAAATTATGTCTGCATGCACTCATGCAACTTGCTTCTCTCACTCTCTGAGCCTGACAACTCTAATACCCTCCCCCTAAAAGCAGCTGCATGTAACCTCCTTCAACATCTTGCCCATTTCCTCAGAAACCCTCTTCAGGAACCTGCAGTCCAGGAGGAAAAAGAAAAGAACAATTACTGAAGACCTTTGGTAAGACCAAAAGGGGTGTTCAGTTTAAAGTGTCTGTCCCAAATGTCTCTAAAATCATTTTACAGTCAGCTATGTGAAAACACCAGAAAAATCTGGAACGTGAACAAAATTTAGGACCAGTCTCGTTTCCTCACTTTACTTCCCCACATGACCAGCACTGCACAACCCTTAATTATACAGTATTTCCAACAAATACTTGTTGAAATTAATTGGGAAAAAATAATCTTGAATTGATGATTGAGCTAAAATGAGGAAATGCCCTAAATGATGGTACAGATATAGTCCTCCAACTCAGTCAAAAGTTCTTTCTTTTCAAAGTAAAATTTGCTAGTACTTCCCTTCAAGATTTCCTCTCAGTTTACTTAGAATCTATTTTCCTATTTATAATTGCTAAATGCTAAATAATCACAAAAGTAGTACTTCCCAAAAGACATTTTCAAGATAAAAAAAATACAAGTGTTAATTTGGAAGGAAGTTTTTATGTTATTGAAAATCATTAGTTTACTGATGAAATTATTTTCAGGTCTCAAAAGAAAACCATTTTATTCATGTAAGAGCTAGACTAGGTTGATTTATTTTACAGGTCTCTTAATTAGCCTCTACTAGAATAGATTTATATTTGAGGTGTTTGCTTTCTTCCTTTAAGAAACCAAAGTTAAGAATACAGAGAAAAAGGAAAAAGTAGTTACAAATCCAAACTCCTAGGCCAAACCACTCTTTTGGGAGTTAGCTTTCAGAGCAGTTTTACTTATTTGAATTCACTTACAGTCACTGTGTTTTTTGGAGCAAAGTGTGTGTTAGGGGAGGAGGGCTTTTTATATATGGATTCCTGCCCAACACATCAAATTCTATGACTTATAAGGCAGAAACACACAAATCTTTCACAGAGACTTAAGCAGGACATAAAGCAAAAGGCATCAATTAAGCTTCACATCAACGTCACTCAATTGGTAAAACATCACGAGAACAGTTTCTTGTGGTAATATTCACATCTTTAAGATTGAGCCTACACTCAGCTCACATAGTGAACAATGTATCTTGGATGCCCTTTAAGTTTTCTTATGTTTTCCCACCCGTTGAGTATTTTTATGTTATCGTTCCTATGTCATATTTGTCACAAAGCTGCCTGATTAGTTTAGATGTAAGTTACTGCACCTTTACTGTTTTTCTCTAGAGTTACATCTATGTATGATGTAGGAACGTAGCCTTCTTCACCGTTCTGTCTCCGAGCTCTTGTCCATCCATCACCTTTGTCTTCCTCAATAATGTATAGAACTTCACCTTCTTTCATTGCCAGGGTACCTTCATTATGTCCTAAATGAGAATTTTCATAGCATGAGCATAATTAAGTGATAATTTTGAATAAAAGTTACAAATACAACACAACAAATGACATGAAACCCAACTAGATTTCAATGTCCCTAGAACCAAGAGCCCACTGACTGTCATTAGCAACAGCTTTATGATGCTTTTGTAGTTTATCCAACACTTTCACATACCTTATCTCACTGGAAATGCAAATAACCCTGGGAAACTGGCATTAATATCACCCCCACGGAATAGATGAAGTATCTGAGCTACAACGATATAGGATGGGAAAGGATACTCTATTTCCCTACTCCAACTCCTTTCCCAAATTTGAGGCATTGCTGTCTACAAAATTCATGAAGTGTGGATCATGAAAATATTAATAAGACTGTGGGAGGGTAAGAAGAAAAAAGAAAAGATAGTTTGGAGAGGAAGTAGAGAAAAACACAGGTTCAACTCTGGTGATGGTGGATGCAGAACAGTCACAGCCACAAAGCACAAAACTTCCTTCAAAACTTCAGAAGACTTAGTTAGAGCTATTTTTCCCCATTGCCAACCACTTCCAACATGCTTAGCAGTAACAGTTTTCACAAATGAATCTTCATTTAATATATGCTAAATTCTCTAGGTTACATTATAGCAAGATCTTATTTAATACTATTTTCTCAAAATGAGCAGTAACTAAAAACTTTACTCAACTTTAAAACTAATAGAATGGATGGATGGATGAGAAAGGACCTTAAACTCATATACCATTTTAGAAGAACTTATTTGTGAAAGTGTTACTCTGCTCCTCTGTGAATTGAGGAAAAGGATTTTTCATAGTCCAACAGAGGGAAGGGCAACAAAAACAACCTGCAAGAGAGAACCACAATGTCTTCTTTCACAGGGACTGTTCTTCAACCTTCACAGGGGAAGGATGGCATAGTCAGAAGTGACCACATTCTCTCCTCTACTGAAAATATGGCCTACAGAGTCAGGATACAGTCGGGACATCCAACCATGCCATTTGCCTAGTACCTGTCTCTCAGTGTTAGCAAGTTACAAGAAAGATCTTAAAGTGGCATCTATTAGCCTTCCATTTCCTAGATTGAGTTACATGCTCAAGCTGCTTCAACTGTGATGAATACATGTAGTTTAGTAAGATCTCTGGGGGAAATTAAATTCTGTATCAAAGTTGATAATTAAATAAATATCTGTACTAGGATGCTGATAACACAGGTAATTTTCTTCCAGTGTCAGGTACTTCTATTTGTAATACACTTAAAATAAAAATATTCATACTAATGAGCTGGGATTACAGTTTGCTGACAATGTATTATTCAACTAAGGACACTAAAGTGCATGATTCAATGTACATAGACTTTAAGGAACCAGTTTTATCAAATACAAAAGAAAACCATACCATCAAAAGGGTAGATAGCTTTGCAGTGTCCAATAGCAGGCAAGGGATCATCGTCTTCAAATTCATCATCAAACTCATTGTGGTGACTATGTTGCTGGGATGGCCCACGGACTTCTTGGTTTGCATCATCAGTGTAACTTCCCTCAGGACTATAAAACAGGAAAGTATACCTCGTCAAGTATCAGAAACATGGGAAACTTTTGTCCTATCTACAAGTTGATCTCAGGATCAATTCAGAGAACTAAATACCAATTGCACAGTTCCAAATAAAGCCTTTATATATACATCAATTGCTGGTAATACAAAATGCTTCTTTGTTGAAATTCCTGAAATTAAATAACTACAATGTTCTAAGCATATGGCATGCATTCAGTAAATATGTCTCACTATCACTGGTTCCAGAGATAAAATGGAGAAATGTAGGGGACACTTGTCTTTCATCATCCTGGATTTATCACTTCCTCTTTTGGCAAAAGAACCCTAAAATTTCATAGGGGACCCACCCAGACCCATGTTCAGTTCACAGGGTTCAGGCAGAGTGAATAGCTCACGAGGAGGCTTATAACCTCATCAGGTAGAAGAGACCCACAGAGACCTTTCTTTAGGACTGAAGAGAAGCTCCCTCCCTGCCTTCTCCACTGGACTTGAACCTGGAGAAATAGGAGGCCAGAACTTTGGAAGATCATCACATGAAGTCTTTGAATGAAGCTAACATAGTGGAAGGCACAACTGTGAGGTGGAGAGAAACAGTTCTATTATCTGAGTTCCTAGATCAAGCTCTCCCTAAAACCAGCCAATAACACTCCTTTTTAGTGTAAGCCATTTTCGGTATTTATTCTGTCACTGAAAGCAAAAAGACTCCTGATAAAGTCACTTCCAATTAATCACGCTAACAAGGAGGTTAGTAAAACTTAGAAAATTCAGAAGAGTAGGTAATCAAAAGGCATTTTTTTCTAAAAAATTTTTAAGAGAGGGATCCCTGGGTGGCGCAGTGGTTTGGCGCCTGCCTTTGGCCCAGGGCGTGATCCTGGAGACCCGGGATCGAATCCCACGTCAGGCTCCCGGTGCATGGAGCCTGCTTCTCCCTCTGCCTGTGTCTCTGCCTCTCTCTCTCTCTCTGTGACTAACATAAATAAATAAAAATTTAAAAAAAAAATTAAAAAAAATTTTTAAGAGAAAAATGCTAATAATTTTGCTAAAAATTCAATGACTGAATAAAATAATGGGAAAATCTGTATGATTAGAAATTAAGAGCACTTTCTGTATGCTTGGAAGCCATGTTCTTAAATAATGTAAGCCAGAGATTAAATTACTCTAAGGTATGTTTTACCTAGTAACAAAAACCAGTATATATAAAAAAAAAACAAAAAACAAAACAGTATATCTCTATTTTTCAAAAAATGGTAACATAGGAAAAGAGAAGAACCAACATTTGTCAAACATGTAATTCCCAGGTATTTTACTATGAGGTGCTTTATATATTATTTCATTTATTAGTAATATGACAGGTATTTCAATCTCTATTTTTACATTTTAGGAAACTGAGACAGATTATTAAAAATGAACTTGTTCAAATTATACTGTGATTAAATAGCAAACCAAGATTTGACACTAGATCTCTCAAGTTCTAAGGAGAATCCTAACTTGTTAGATTTTAGTGGGGATGGGGGGTGGTGGATGATATATACACGGAGGGGAAAATGTCACAAAATGGTATGAAACTTAGCAAAATGCCTCTTGAAAGCTCTGATTCAAACCAACAAAACAGATTTCTTTTTTCCTTCACAGAACTTTGAACAACTTGACAGTTAAATTTTTCTTTGGCATAAGCCATCCAACTCCATCTAAACCTTAGAATCTTCCCAGGTCGGAGAAGCTTATGCCTCCAGACTGTAGCTCCATGAATTTTCTGTTCATACCTCTGTTTTTGGATGCATGACAATGTAGGACAGACCAGCAATAGGAAATTTCATATTTTACCAGTAGCTATTGTAAAGAAAAAATCATTTAGGTTCATAAGACAAATGTCACTAAAAGCCAAACCTGTTAAATCAGGAAAGAAGAAAAAGAATTATATGAAGTTTAGGACAAAAGGGTGAGAAAAGTCTGAGAGAAAAGAAGAAATACAAATAAAATGCAAAAAGTAACCTTTCTCGTCCCTGTGTTACAAGATGATTTATGTCACTGCTATGTCTTCTGTCTCCTCTCCCACCTGTTTTACCTTCAACTTCAGAGAGCCAAGCCTTAGGAAAAAATAAATAATACTGAGCTCAATAAATATTTTAAAAAGCTCCTGAGATAGTCTACATTTAAAATGTGCTTTGAGCTTTTATAATTACATAATTCTTAAAGAAGGGAAACCTTTATTCCAGTTTGATCAATGATTGCATTTACAGCTGATAAGCATAAATGTTTAGTTTTACATAGTTTTAATTAAGAAAAGGAAAAACTCTGAGGAACTAATTCTGAAGATTATATACCATGATTTCTTTCTTTTAGATTATAAACCCTAAAACAATCCATAAAAATTTGAAGATGAAATTGTAGCAAAAACCAACTTATCATAATGAAGTTTATAAAAATGAATTTACCTTAGACAAACTGCAGAACAACAAACCTACCTCATTCTTGTGGATTTCCATTCGAAGGCGGTCAATGTTATTCATGGTTTCTGCTAATTTAGGCTGCAAACTCCCCGGATCCCCCATTTGTGGATTTTTTTCATACACATCTTTCATTTTGTTGAGTGCTTCTCTGGAAATGGGAAGGATGTGACAGAATTAAATATTCACTTCATATGTTCCCAGATAAAAGAGTTTCATTTGATTTTGGGGACTCTCACGTAGCCTAATCTTATCTCTTTAAATTTAGTCACATATTACCTACTTAACGATAATCTGCATAATGATGATAATGTATATAGAGTTAGTAATTTATGGAGACAGTCTTTTAAAATATTTGAAATAAAAAAATAAATTTCTCATTTATGAGATTTTATATTTATATAGTACATATAAATATATATTGCATATACACATATTGCATATGTATATATTATGTATATCTTTGTACACATACCGTTTTAATCAAGGCCTGGAAGAATATTCCTCAATATTCTTAAACTCCTCATGGCTCAACTCAAATTCATTATATCTTCATACAGATATATATTCCCCCAGTGTGCCTCATCTTAAACCCTAGCATCTTTGTCCTCCAGCTCATCCATGCTAGAAATAGGAATGCCATCTTTCACTTGCGCCTCTCCCAGTTCAATCATCTCTTCATTACTCTAATCATATCACTGCTGGTTATACCTCAATCAGAGCTCTGTGACTCCTTCTAACATCTGACATTACTGACTCATACACTCTAATACTCTTTTTCCCTCTTCATTTCCTAGAGGTTACATTTCCTTTTCCCTTCTCACCTCTGCTGTCTCATCTACCCCTGTTCAACCTTTAAATGTGTGTTACATAAAATGACAACAAAGGTTTCTTCTCACCTCATCCTACACTTCTTTTTGAAAATGATCTCTTCCTGCTTTTTTACTGGTTTTATTGATACATAATGGACTCTTACTACCTTTAGAGGATACTCAAATATCTCCAGTCTTCCTTCTTTCCTAAGTTCTAGACACCTTGAACAAGTATCCTTTCTGTGATCCACCTAAGTGTCATGTTTTTTTAATTTTATGCTCTTCAGTGATTTTTTCTTTTAAGGTTTTATTTATTTGAGAGACAGTGAGAGAAAGAGCAGAAGTGGCAGAGGGAAAGGAAAGGGGGCTTCCCACTGAGCAGGGAACCCAACATGGGGCTCAATCCCAGGACCCCAAGCTGAAGGCAGATGCTTTACTGACTGAGCCACCCAGGCACTCCTGATTTTTTTCTTTTTTTTTTTTTTAAGATTTTATTTATTTATTCATGAGCGACAGAGAGAGAGAGAGAGAGGCAGAGACACAGGCAGAGGGAGAAGCAGGCTCCATGCAGGGAGCCCGACGTGTGACTCGATCCCGGGTCTCCAGGATCAGGCCCTGGGCTGAAGGCGCCACTAAACCTCTGAGCCACCAGGGCTGCCCTGATTTTTCTTTATAAAATAAGCCCCTAAGTGTAGTGAAGCACTGTCTAGTGTTTTAAGTGCAAGAAGGCTGTGAGGTGCATTATGGAAAAAATACATGTGGTTACATAGGCTTTGTTCATTCATGAGTTACAGTGCTATTGGCCCTGAGTTCAAAGTTAATGAATCAGGGCACCTGGGTGGCCCAGTGTTTGAGCATCTGCCTTTAGCTCAGATCATGATCCCAGGGTCCTGGGATTGAGTGTGGGAAGCCTGCTTCTCCCTCTGCCTAAGTCTCTGTGTCTCTCATGAATAAATAGATAAAATCTTTAAAAAAATTTTCTAAATCAACAATATATATTAGCTAATGTCTTCAAACAGAAACACACATAAAACAAGGTTATAATCTGGGCACCTGGGTGGTTTAGTCACTTAAGCATCCGACCCTTGATTTTAGCTCAGGTCATGATCTCAAGGACTTGGGATCAAGCCCTGCATTGGGCTCCATGCTTAGCAGGGAGTAGGCTTGAGAATCCTCTCTCCTCTCCCTCTCTGCCCCTCCTCCCACTCAAACAAATAAATAAAATCTTAAACAAACAAACAAACAAAAACAGTCATAATTGATCAGTTGATGAAAATGCTGTGACCAGAACCTAAATGGAGCCTACACCTGTATATTCCATTTCATTATTGACTAAATCAGTGTTCACAGTGACTTTATAGAACATAACTACCACCAAAAACAAGAATCGACTATATTACAATATTTATGATTAAGCATCCTATCATAACTGATGTACAATTCTTAACATCAAAACTTCAATCATTTCTACACTTGAAACTAAAGTGACATTGTGTGTCAACTATACTACAATAACAGGAAAAACAGAACACAAAATCTGGAATAAAACTGCCTGAGCTGAGCTGCAAAAAAAACCCAAACCCCTCAAAAACCTTCAATCACTTGTACTAGAGTTTAAGCTCCAATTTTATTTTCAATATAAAAGCAGATAGTAAGGCACCAATTCACTGTAATAACCCTGTATTCATTATAACTATCTGTTCATGAGAACAAAATTGAACTGAAGGAAACTTTTTATAACATTGAAAAAAATCACATCTATGAATCAATGAATCTGACGCTGTAAGTAATCAAGTATTATCTGCCGACACATCTTGCTGCAAACAAAATAATTATGGCTTTAGGTTTCTACTGAACTCAATTTATATATCAAAAAAAAAAAGAAATACATCAAAGTATCAGAGATAGTTAATGTTGATGAAACTAGATAATGAATCTAGATAATGAATCATCAAATTATTTTGCAATATTACAGAAAGCATATATACAGACTACTGGTATCCAAGAAGTAAACGCAACCTAAGAAACAAACATTTCATTTTTATCTGTGACATGGCAATTATAAAATTTTTCAAAGTTTAGGAGCATATTTTTCCCCCAAAGGTATTTCAATTACGATATAGGATTTTTAAACCTTTTATGCATCACATTTCAACACATCATTCAAAGTAGACCCCTTAAGGAATAATAACGGTAGAAAAGACTTAATGGAAAAATACTTTTGGTCTGATTCTTTTTGTAGTTCTCTGTTAAGTTCATCGATGCGCTGCTGCAGCTTTTTACGTCTCTGCTCTGGTGGGAGATGACTGAAATCTTCTAGTGCTGGGCCCTGAAAAGAGAATCTAAATCATTATAAAAGACATCTTCAGGAAACTTTCTTTTTTAAATAAACCCGCTATAAAATAAAAATATGTATCAGTTTTATAAAACAAAAATATGTATCAGTTTTAAGTTTAATTTCAAATTAGCCCCCAAACAACCCTTTTTAAGAAGAAATCTAAACAGATATGTATGTTAATTAAAACTGTATTGAAGAAAGAACTCAAATTCCTGTCAGTTCATAAAATCATGAAACATAATAGGTAAAAATATAATCAGATAAAGAAAATTAGTAATGACCACTATCACATTATTTTCAGGTCTTGGCAGTTAAAATGAATACATATGAATCTTCTTACAGCAACAACAACAAAATGGAAACACTTAACATTTCTCACCTATACAAATAATTGTTTTATAGGTAACATTATATTGCCAAATCAAATATTGCGAATGTTGACCGCAAATATGAGAAGTTTATACAAATAAGCAACTTACCTCATGAAAGATAACTAATTAGTGAAATGTATTTTAATATTGCATAGTCTTTCAATGATTATATTAAGCCACTCTTTAGAACCAAAACATACCTGATTGTTAAAAAACAAAAGGTAGAACTATCCACTGTGTGAAATGTAAGTAGAAATTATGCTAGAAAGGAGTTTATTTTCAATTATCCTTTTGTACAACCTAATAACATACCTCAGTAATTCCTGAAAGATATAATCCAAAAAAGATGTGATCCTTCTTTAGGAAAGATGCTGGATGTTAGAAAATGTTTTAGTATTTTAATATTCAAGAAACTGTATCATCATTTAAGAAAGAGTACTGGCATTTAGATGTAAACTTCTGATTCACTCTATGTCTTTCATATCTTAAATGTTAATCATGTCACTCTTCTTTATCTTATTAGTTTCCACAACAGAGCCATATTAGCAACTACTGATTTTCCATTTACTATAAACCCATATTTACATTAGTTGTTTTTTTTTAAGATTTTATTTATTCATGAGACAGAGAGAGAGAGAGAGAGAGAGGCAGAGACACAGGCAGAGGGAGAAGCAGGCTCCGTGCAGGGAGCCCAATGTGGGACTCAATCCCAGGACTCCAGGATCACACCCCAGGCTGAAGGCAGGCGCTAAACCGCTGAGCCACCCAGGCGTCCCTACATTTATTAGTTTTTTATACACTCCAAAAACTGATGACATTTTTCTTTTTAAAATGGTGATTTTAAGAATATGCAAGTTCAATTTTTAAAATATTGTTGAAATGCATCCTTGCTCTTTGGGCCATTTATGCCTATAAGATATGCTAAGTAGCTTTATTTCATCATCTATAAGAATGTTTCCCAACTTTTAAAAAACTCACTTTTAGGAGGGGGCCATGATCAAAGCTAATATTTAATTAATAACAGAATCTCAATTTTCCCCAAGTGGCCTACACATTATGGATATTTAACAAGCTTGCCTTAAAAAAAAGGAGGGCAGCTTGTCTAAGTGGCTTTTGTTTTTTAATCTACAAGTAGCAGAAATAAGAATCTGTTTATCAACTGAATCTGACCTAAATAAATGAATGGCAGAATTTCCTATACAAGGTAGGTGCCTTTAAATTATTATTTTTTAAAGATTTTATTTATTTATTCATGAGACACAGAGAGAGAGGCAGAGACAAAGGCAGAGGGAGAAGCAGGCTCCATGCAGGGAGCCCGACACGGGACTTGATCCTGGGATTCCGGGATCAGGCCCTGAGCTGAAGGCAGGTGCTAAACCAGTAAGCCACCAAGGCGTCCCGGTGCCTTTAAATTTAGTGGTCAATTATTAATGTAAGTTGTCAGATTTAATCTAATTTACATACAGGTTCTGAAAACTATTATATATGTGCCAAAGATAAAACTTTATATTTTTAAAATTCTGAAAAACTATTTAATAAAGAAATATATTTCAATGTTTTTTGGGGGGAGTAATAAACTCACAATTACCTATATGTAAACCTGCCAGATTTCCACTTACTCCTAATTAAACCTTGTTCTCAAATTTATAAACAGTGGATACCTGTTAATAAATCCCATTTTGACATTATAACCTGTTGTTTTATAGAACATGAGAACTAAACACTACTTCCTATAAAGACCTTTGAGGCAGGAAACAACAACTTTTCCTATTACAAGGGAATTAATTTATAAAAGATCAGACTACAAGTGTGAAAGAATGTGGTCTGAAAGAGAGTGGTCTGTTTTTCAAAAATAAACTATGCAAGGACCCAAAGATTTGGGGATTAGGTCTTCACAATGCAGTTCCATTAATGTGTCTGAAATGTATAAAGGACCATCACACATACACGCTCACACACATACACTGTACACACACACATAGTATTCAGGTTATGTGTGCTTTTTTACCATTCAGTAGTACAGAAGAAGAAAGCACTGACTCTCTGATGAAATCAGAAGGAAATTTTCTTACTATTTTGAAAATCTATTGTTTCTTGTGATAAACACAAATTTATACAATCTTTTTAAAAGATCTTAAAAATCATTTTTAGTTTTCCTTCTGTAAAAACAAGAACTTTGGTTCTACTGTGTAACTTTAAAAATAATGATTAACTATAATTTTATGCTCTGTAACATGACAAGGACTCCACTCAATAACATTTAAGAACTTAATGGGTTGATTACAGGTAACCACATTATTTTTGAATTTTACAACATCAAGAAGTACTGGCATATATTGGACCACGGAATAAATTATAAAAAGAAAAGACACATACGAGGTGAAAATGCGGGGTTGTACCTTACCACTTATTTTTAATTAAAAAAAAAAAGAAAACAATGTCTTATTTAATGTTGGCACAGTATATAGATCAGCACATAAGGCTTACCATCTTCACCGACCACTGAATAGTTCAATGGAAAACAGAAAGAAATGGTAAATTATTCATATGAAATCATAATACAGAAGATGCAATAACTTATACTTTTTTATATTAAAATAAATCATGAACATTTCACAATCCAAACAATTATGCCAGAAAAACAATTTTAAGCACATATTGGGGAAAGTTACTTGCAAAAAAAAAAAAATACACTGATGATAATGGGCAGATATTTTCTAAATGCAACTAAAACTCAAAAGTAAATAGAAATAATTTGATCAGTAATTATTTATTTTCTTCTTTAAGAGATAATTTTTTCCATAAATGGATTCACTTACATAGCTCTTTATTCTCAAAATACTAATATTTGAAAAGTTGAATATAAAGATCTAATATTAATCATTTAAATTATATGAAGTATTAAAAAATGAAAGGCTCTTCCCAATTCATTAAACAAAACAGATTACAGGAATTTTTACAGTTCAAAACATTATTTTGTATTTAAATATGTCAAGGGTAGAGAAGGGTAACACTTCTACTAGTTTAAACGTTTTTTTTTCTTAAGAAAATGTACAGAAACATCATTTCCCATACATATTTCCTAAAAGACATAAATATATGGGCTGAATATTGCTTTGAAGACAGTGCTTCTATTTTTCAGTTTTTATTCTGAAATCCATATGCTCAATAAGCAACACTAAAAATATAATGGTAATTTTTAGAAAACTGGATAAACTTTATTTTTTCAGAAAAATGAAATGACATAGCCAGAGTGCACTCATACAGTATATATACCACTAATATATATATATAACCCACATTATGTGGGTTAACAGGGTTCTGCAACTGGCAATGCATCTATAAAGCATCCCCAGTACACACACATGTGCACGCTTACACACACACACACGCACATGCACACCCTTAGTGATCCATAATATGCAATAAAGCTTTACAAAGTTAATCTTTACATTCATTGTGTTTGGTTCACAACCTCTAAAATTTTTACTTTTCCCTATTTTCTAAATCATGATGTTTTAGAGAAGGTAGAGGGCATGTCAGGTATAATTTCAATAAAAAAATGAGAACTTTAATAAATAATTGACAAAAATATCTACCCCTTATCTCCAATGAATTGGCTATATATATTAATGGTTATGATGATAAGAAAGATGACATTTACTATCCATTATCTTTCCAAATTAAGCTTAACATTCTTTAGACTGTCAGTAGTTTCAGGGAACAAAACCACAACTTATTTTGGTATCAAAATTCCTGATAAAAAGATTAAAAGGATTCAATTTAAAAAATATATTCATGGTCTTTTTAAATGCTAATTAATACAAAATTAAACAGAGCACAAGAAACAAAATATGTGAAGTATTTGAATTTATCTTTTATAAATTTTCCCCAGCTAAATTTCTAAGTGAAATAATAACTATTTTTCCAGTTTCTATTTTAATACGTTTTAAAGAAAACATTAAGATGATTATAACTGAAGTATCAAATATTTCAGTTTTTAGTTAATCTAGTTTCCTATCAATTAGATTAATTTATGGTTCAATAACCTCAGGTTTGGGGATACAAAAAACTCAAGTTCCTTGTAAAAATATTAGAAATACATCAAAATATTTCTTCTTTTAAGTAATTAACTCATGTTCAATGCATAAATATCTTACTCTCATAAAGTTATCATGTACCTATAACTAGAAAATTTCACATACCCCCAACACCTTAAAAAATATACAAAGAAGCTAAAAAGGAAATCTGTTAGGTAATTACAATTATTAGATATATTTCATTTAAAGATAGGAAAATCCTGCTAACTATATTCTGAATAAGTACAAGCTTACAAATATGACTAGGTTTTTAAGACCATGAATAATTTAGACAGAATACATGGACTTACTATTGCTAGATAAATCTACTTCCCCTCAAAAAAAGGATTACACAGCAAACTCAAATGAAATAGAGTAAAAATTATTTGTTTCTGTATTAATAGTGGTTAAGTCTATATGTACACCAAATATCCATTAATAGTTAGCTCTTGATGTCACAGGAGAAAATTATACACCACTATCTCTCAGAAAAGGTCTACTGGGATCACTATCAAATTCAAAAACATCAGTCAAATATAGCATTTCTCACATTCTTAAAAATATTAGGAACTATATATACTAAGTTTCTTAAAAAAAAAAAAAAGAAAGAAAGAAATTATAATTTTTTAGAAAAGTCCAAAGTAGGTATTTAGGAAAAGCAATGTAGCAAACATAGTTCAAAGCAAGAGTTTCAGATTTGATTGGTACAACTCATCAGCTTTAAGAAACCTTAAAGACTTACTCTGTAAGCTTAATGGACTCACATGTAAATATACATGTTTAAAAAAAAAAAAACAACAACTGGTTTCTTAAAACTTCTTTTTGGATTTTTCTACATTGAGAAAATTCTTAAGTGGTAGAAAATATTCTCTACGGGCTAATTTTGAAAGAGAATCTGATAAACTACCAAATACCAACAAAATGAAAAACTTGTCAATGCCAAAGTTATATAATAAACTTTCTTTTCTGCTCTATCCTCCAATCCCCTAGAATCAATTTATCTGTCAATTTTCTACCTTGCATATTACTTTTTTCCTTTGGTACAATAATTAATAACAAAGGAGGAGGATTTTGGCCTTTTGGAAGTGCCCTTCCCAGAACAATGTACTAATATTTAAAATTAAAGCAATAAATGTAAATAAGACAAATAATGACTAAGCAGATACTTTTTAAGTTCTACAGTTTATAAAATTCCACATATCAACTTATTCAGTATGAATGAAGACGTCACATATTTAAACTTCTCTCTCCAGGGCTCACAGTTTGATCTGTCTAAACTTTTTGACACAGAACTACATTTATTTCGTATCTCCGTAATTATACAGTGTAGATTACCATAACTGGGTCTGGTGGACTTAGTGTGTAAGATACATAAACAATTACAAGAATATAGCTACTAAATAGTAATTTCTCATGATTTATGTAACACATAATATTTAATTAAGTCTAAATCATAAGAGAAAAAAGATGGGAATTCTACCCTCATAATTCAAGCAACAGAAGTGACTTCTTAAAAGTCCTTCAAACAAGTGTTAAGGGGTTTTAAAAATGAATACAGGTACCTGTAGTGCTTGTAGGTATAATACAGACTTATTCCTAATGACTTTTCAGAATGTTACTTATTATGTGTAGCATCATTCACACTCAGAATTAGGTAAGATAGATGTAAAACTGTTTATGACATTATAGGAAAAAAGAAGTCCAAAAAGAGACATCATTCATTAGAACATGTCTGCTGCGTTACATGGTATCACTTCAGTTTGTCATACTGTTATAATGAAAATGCAGAGAATAATGTAATCTTGCCCTATATGGGGCCAAAAGAGAAACTCAACCAAAGCAGTTTGTAGAAAAGGTTACAAAAAGTAGTAAAACCAGACAGGCTAGACAGAAAAGAAAAGAGAAGACATGAAAAAAAAAAAAAAAGAAGGAGGAGGAAAAATGGGGAGCAAGAACAAGAGCCCAACTACAGTATATCATCACTGTTAATGATTAGATGTCACGGCACTGAGAGACTCTGTGTTCTCATCTGTGGGCTATCAAACCTATGTTTTTCATATGAACAAACAAATGCTCAAATTTTATAAATATATCTAAATTATGAGCTATGAATATTATAAGGACACCCTTAAAATCAAACAAACGAGAAATTAGCATCACTAAAGTAATGGAATAACACTAATATTTATCAGTAGTCTAACAATTGTTGCTAAAAAATAGTTTAACATTTGGTTTCTACTATTCTAAAATTTTTCATTTGCAGAATATCTTTAGTTTTAAGTAAACATCAAAGGCTGGCCAATTTTTTTAAAAAAGGAAAAATTTTGGTAAAAAATACTTCTAAATCAAGAACATAAATTCCATGTAAACATTAATAATATCTAGTATTTTATAGGCTTTATGATTTACAAAATACCTACTAATATATTATCTTTGATCTACAATCTTGATATTTATTAACACACCTATCTTTATCTTTATTTAACTACTAGAAACTGTTTTATACTTCTGAAAGTAGGGCAATTAAAATTGAACTTGATTTTTTTATTGTCAACAAAATACTTTATAAATTGGCAGAAGTCATTATTAGTGACAAATTATTACATAAGTAACTTCAGTGACAAATTACTGAAAGTCTTAAAAATGTAAATACATTACAAGACAATGGTGGACATATGATTTCACATAAACAAAAAAAATAGCTAATATGATTGTACCCAGCACCCTCTTTATAATACCATTCTTTTATGGTTGAGCATTTCAAATGTTATAAAGAGGAGTTGTTTTTAACTTGAGGGCAGCTATGCTTAATTCTGTGGTGTTTTTAAACTACATATTTACTGGAGAGAGCCTTATAATGAGGGTGGAGAGTATTAAAAGCCACACTACACACACAATAGGCCATCATGCATTTTAACCCATTATTAAACTTACCCCTCTTTTGAGGCTTCTGAAAGAAGGAATTCTGGGCTTCCCTGTTTTTATTTCATTCATACAATAATGCACGGGCTCAATGGAGAATGTGAGAAACTGGGACCCATTAGGAGTACTGGATGTGAATAAACTAGTAGGGGTTAAGGGTGGGGACTGTGGCTAATATGGAAATAAAGAAAGGAATCAATAAGCCAAATGTGCATAGTTTTTTCCTAAATGAAAATTCTATTTTTGGCAACATACTTTTCACAAAATAAATCTCAAAGTTTTCTATAAAAATATAAGAGAATTAACATAGCTTTGCCAAAACCGTCATTTTAAAAAGTCAAATTTACTTTAAAAAATGTACCATTTCATTTGATCACTTTTTACAAGATACTAAAAATATAGAGTACACAAATTATAATGTTAGAGAGAGCAATATGACCTATATAAAAAATTCTCTTCTGGTTTCTAGAATATTAGCACTACCTAACTGGTTATACTTTAACCTGTACTTGTCAGAGATAAAGGCAGCAGCTACAGGTAAAGTTATCTAAATAGATAATGTCTATTAAAATATTAAAATTACAACTGATTTTCACAAATAGGCAATTTCATTACATTTGTGTTTTTTCTCTCAGACTGTTCCTATTTCATCCTCACTGCACCTCATTTTTAAAAAAATATGTCAGTAGTCATTTTTCTAAGTTCGCCTATCTACTCTGATTTGACTTAAAAAAAAAAGTCTCACCTCTGAACTTCTCACCTGGAAAATATTATTAAAAGCAAGAATAATGCTTGAGTTATTATAAGTGCACTTCTAAAGATATTTATAGGTATAATCTGAGTTAAATTTATCTACATTCTTAAGCCAAGAGCAGAAAAATGAATTAATATTATGTGTACTTTAATAAAGCATATCAGATTAAAAGTACATATCTATTCTCAAACTACATAGACTCTATTATAATCACTAAATTGGTAAGATTAAGTAAGCACTCATCAATTCCATTTGGTCATCTGTTGAGCTAGATTTATCTAATATATACAGCACATCAAAAAGTGGATTTCAACAAGAGTGAGATTCTCTTAGTAAACTAGAGACTTATTAAACTTCAAATAACCACAAACATTGAACCCTTCCCATTATTCACATGGATGATAAAAATAATTTTATTAGTATAATCTATAAGAACTAATTTGACATTTATTATTACTACAGTCAACCATTCAATCTAACAGAGAAACTGTAATTTTAGTGGTCTTAGATCATGTTTCCTTAGAGATTCTGATTGAAACTATATACAAGTGAAATTTCAAAAGCATATGATTCAAGAGATTCACAACTATTTAATATTTTTACTAATTAAGTGGTGTTCAAATGTTAAATCCAGAAATAATTTTTACTATTAAAATACAAAACTAGGTTTCTAATAAGTGAAAAGTTAACTGTATCATTCAAATAAAAATGCTTATTCTCTATTAATAGTAAGCCATTATCCAATCAACACCTACATTGACTTAAATGACACACTAAAATAAAATTGTTAGCATAGAGGAATTTTAGGACTTTTACCTTTGGCTTCTTTCCAAAGAGCCACAACTTGCCCTTGGCCTTTCCTACTGTGGTTTTGGCATCCATCTTCCCACTTTCCTGTTTGGATGCACTGATAGTCCCATCAGAAATGGTTCTATAAATATGCTGACTGTAATCTTCAAATGGGAAGTCTCCTGGAGGTTCAAATCCAGACTTGAAGGAGTCTACTACCATTTGAGAGTCCTACATAAAGAAACATGTTTTTAAAACCACCTCATTTATTTTTAACGCCATTAGCTTTTAAAACCTTACTCAAGAAAATAACAATTTAAAGGAAATAATTCCAAAGTTATCATTAAAGGTTTAAAAGTGAATAATTTCTTCCTGTGGATCACTAAGAAACATTAAATATTTTAATCCTAATAAAAAAACTAATTTATAATCAGATTAACACTTTTTAAATTTGTAATATTCATGAATGTTTTTATTCCATAGCTTCAATCCACTGGAATTCATCTGAATGAGTTAGCTGATACGAAACATCTAGTTAACAAAAAGAATACAGGAAGAGTTTATTCTCAAGTAGAAATTCTAAGAAGTTTCAAAGGAAAAGGGCTTTTTGCTTTAAAGGGTATTTACAAAGATGATGATCTTTGGAACAGGGGAAAGGATATCTAATTGTAAAAGAGAGCAAAAGACAAGTAGAAAGGCTTTCATTCATCCAAAAGGGGAAAGGATCCAAAACCAAAGACCCCACCAAAAAGGAGAATTACAGACCAATATCCCTGATGAACATGGATGCAAAAATTCTCAACAAGATACTAGCCAATAGGATCCAACAACACATTAAGAAAATTATTCACCATGACCAAGTAGGATTTATCCCCGGGACACAAGGCTGGTTCAACACTCGTAAAACAATCAATGTGATTCATCATATCAGCAAGAGAAAAACCAAGAACCATATGATCCTCTCATTAGATGCAGAGAAAGCATTTGACAAAATACAGCATCCATTCCTGATCAAAACTCTTCAGAGTGTAGGGATAGAGGGAACTTTCCTCGACATCTTAAAAGCCATCTACGAAAAGCCCACAGCAAATATCACTCTCAATGGGGAAGCACTGGGAGCCTTTCCCCTAAGATCAGGAACAAGACAGGGATGTCCACTCTCACCACTGCTATTCAACATAGTACTGGAAGTCCTAGCCTCAGCAATCAGACAACAAAAAGACATTAAAGGCATTCAAATTGGCAAAGAAGAAGTCAAACTCTCCCTCTTCACCGATGACATGATACTCTACATAGAAAACCCAAAAGCCTCCAACCCAAGATTGCTAGAACTCATACAGCAATTTGGTAGCATGGCAGGATACAAAATCAATGCCCAGAAATCAATGGCATTCCTATACACTAACAATGAGACTGAAGAAAGAGAAATTAAGGAATCAATCCCATTTACAATTGCACCCAAAAGCATAAGATACCTAGGAATAAACCTAACCAAAGAGGTAAAGGATCTATACCCTAAAAACTATAGAACACTTCTGAAAGAAACTGAGGAAGACACAAAGAGATGGAAAAATATTCCATGCTCATGGATTGGCAGAATTAATATCGTGAAAATGTCAATGTTACCCAGGGCAATTTACACGTTTAATGCAATCCCTATCAAAACACCATGGACTTTCTTCAGAGAGTTAGAACAAATTATTTTAAGATTTGTGTGGAATCAGAAAAGACCCCGAATAGCCAGGGGAATTTTAAAAAAGAAAACCATATCTGGGGGCATCACAATGCCAGATTTCAGGTTGTACTACAAAGCTGTGGTCATCAAGACAGTGTGGTACTGGCACAAAAACAGACACATAGATCAATGGAACAGAATAGAGAACCCAGAAGTGGACCCTGAACTTTATGGTCAACTAATATTCGATAAAGGAGGAAAGACTATCTACTGGAAGAAAGACAGTCTCTTCAATAAATGGTGCTGGGAAAATTGGACATCCACATGCAGAAGAATGAAACTAGACCACTCTCTTACACCATACACAAAGATAAACTCAAAATGGATGAAAGATCTAAATGTGAGACAAGATTCCCTCAAAATCCTAGAGGAGAACACAGGCAACACCCTTTGTGAACTTGGCCACAGTAACTTCTTGCAAGATACATCCACGAAAGCAAAAGAAACAAAAGCAAAAATGAACTATTGGGACTTCATCAAGATAAGAAGCTTTTGCACAGCAAAGGATACAGTCAACAGAACTAAAAGACAACCTACAGAATGGGAGAAGATATTTGCAAATAACATATCAGATAAAGGGCTAGTGTCCAAAATCTATAAAGAACTTATTAAACTCAACAGCAAAGAAACAAACAATCCAATCATGAAATGGGCAAAGGACATGAAGAGAAATCTCACAGAGGAAGACATAGACATGGCCAACATGCACATGAGAAAATGCTCTGCATCACTTGCCATCAGGGAAATACAAATCAAAACCACCAGGAGATACCACCTCACACCAGTGAGAATGGGGAAAATTAACAAGGCAGGAAACAACAAATGTTGGAGAGGATGCGGAGAAAAGGGAACCCTCTTACACTGTTGGTGGGAATGTGAACTGGTGCAGCCACTCTGGAAAACTGTGTGGAAGTTCCTCAAAGAGTTAAAAATAGACCTGCCCTATGACCCAGCAATTGCACTGTTAGGGATTTACCCCAAAGATTCAGATGCAATGAAACGCCGGGACACCTGCACCCCGATGTTTCTAGCAGCAATGTCCACAATAGCCAAACTGTGGAAGGAGCCTCGGTGTCCATCGAAAGATGAATGGATAAAGAAGATGTGGTTTATGTATACAATGGAATATTACTCAGCCATTAGAAACGACAAATACCCACCATTTGCTTCAACGTGGATGGAACTGGAGGGTATTATGCTGAATGAAGTAAGTCAATCGGAGAAAGACAAACAGTGTATATTCTCATTCATTTGGGGAATATGAATAATAGTGAAAGGGAATATAAGGGATGGGAGAAGAAATGTGTGGGAAATATCAGAAAAGGACACAGAACATAAAGACTCCTAACTCTGGGAAACGAACTAGGGGTGGTGGAGGGGGAGGAGGGCGGGGGGTGGGGGTGAATGGGTGAAGGGCACTGAGGGGGACACTTGACGGGATGAGCACTGGGTGTTATTCTGTATGTTGGTAAATTGAACACCAATAAAAATTAATTTATTAAAATAAAAGGGGGAAAGGATAAACAAAATATATTAAGAATATACTTGGGAATATTAACCAAACAAGACAGAAAGATCTCACAAACAGCACTAAATACAAAAAGCAATTTTAAAAATAAGTATGTGAAGTTCAGTATTATTTCCCTAAAATTTAAAACTGATATAACTATATATACTGTCTTTGGACATACATACCACTATCCCAATGTTCTACTGGCACCCTAAGCTCATTATTTTCCAAGAGAATACTTTATCTGTACAAACTCCTCCCAACCCCCAACCATTTCTTTTTTTTCCCTATTTCTGTTAATTGTGCATTTTGCCTGTTATTTAGTCAAAAGTCATCCATAAATCACACCTGAGTTTTGTCATTAATGTCACCCCTACCACTCACTTGCTAAAAGGGTAAGAATGAGAGAGAAGGGACCTAACTCTATTAGTAACCCTGCACCCAGCCATACTGAAATATAAGGGTACCTCTGAATTCCCAATTAAAGAACTCAAAAACCTTTTTTAAAAAAGATTATTAATTTATTTTGGGGAGTGGGGGAGAGAGCAAACAAGTGGGGGGGGGCAGAGGAAGAGAATCTTCAAGCAGACTCTCCACTGAGCTTGGAGCCAGGGGTGGGGCTTGATCCTAGGACCCCCAAGGTCATGACCTAAGCAGAAACTAAGAATCTGGATGCTTAACCAACTGAGCCACCCAGGTGCCCCCCAAACCCTTTTATTTTAAAAATTTAAGTCAGAATTCTATTTGTTATAGGGAAGGATGGTCATTAATATAATACCAACTTGCTATGAAGACTAAAATATGTGGTACATATTTGGCATTCCCCAAACACTGTTTTTTTTCCTCTTGCTCTTTCTTCATGGCCTCAGTTTCTGCCAACCATCCTTTCTGGTCACTCAACGACATTTACAGAGAAATGACCAGTTCTTACTAGACCTTAACTGAGACAGAATGTGACTGGATATACTTGCTCAAGGGGAGTAGAGCTATGCTGTTCCTTCTGCTCATAATGCCTTTCTTACTTTTTCCCATGGGCCATGATTCCATATACTATCCATGCTTCAAGTGCCGACTCTTGTATTAAATGCAATTCTTAGAGTAACTCTAGATCTATTTCTTTCTCTTAACTTTCACTAGAGTAAAATACAGTTTGTAACCTATAGTTCATAGGTTACATTATACTCTTGGAGTAGAACTGAAATATTTAGGGAGGGGAGGAGAAGGAAGGATTAGAACTCTTTTCTTTCGAACTAGAATTTGAGTGTTTAGAATGGTCTTTAAAGCCCAAAGGAGTCCAATCTATTGCCAGACTTCTACAGAATATAATTTAGAATCAGCTACCCATCAATTACTTCACCTCTTTCCCAATTCATTTCACACTCCCGCTGCATACCTAAACCAAATACATTTATTCAAATATAATTATATGGCACTTACTCTTCTTTCATCAACTGATTTTGCTGCGAGAATCATTCCTTCCAGACATTTTGAAATGATAGGAATAACTTTGCGTTCTGAGTCTGCAAATCCTCTGTAACACTCACTGAGTTTAATAGTCCTTCGTTCATCCATTTCTTGTAGTTGCTAATAATCAGAAATTTTTTAAAAAAGGGAATACTTAATTTTCTTTTCAGGTTGAAGCAAACCCCACCCCCAAATTAAGGATTCTACAGTAATAGTTACACTGTTGTTAGTATCTTTTCATTAGTGCTGCAGACTTAGAATACTTAAAACTTGAAACTTATTAAATAACAAAACAAACAAAAAACATCAAGCCTTTCAGAATATCTTAAAACCAGGTGACAATGGCTTTCAAGTATCCCAAAGGGGCTCCCTAACAGACTAGCAGCAATTTACCTGTTAACCACCTCCATCTTTCTTTTTTCTTTCTCTCTCTCTTTTTTTTTTTTTTTTAAGATTTTAGTTATTTATTCATGAGAGACACACAAAAAGAGGCAGAGACATAGGCAGAGGTAGGCTCCCTGCAGGGAGCCCAATGCAGGACTCGATCCCAGGACCCTAGGATCATGCCCTAAGCAGAAGACAGACAAATGCACAACCACAGACCCAACCAGGGACCCCCCTCCCCCCTTCATTTTTTCAGTCACAGCATCTGTCTATGCATCCAGGAAAAGTTGCACTTGAAAACAATTCTGATGCCTTTTTTTTTTTCTTTTTAAGGGACTGGCCTATGACATATATAAATCTGAGAACTCTAAGTCCTTTAGTTAGTTCAGACTACTTTGGTAAGATCTGATTGGGCTATGGATCCACAGCTGACTGAATACCAATAGATACTTTGACCTACCTGTCAGTCTACAGCTCAGAATGACTGTCAAAGGGTTGGGGACACAAGATGAAAAATAAGAAGCTATATGGTGAAAATGGCACATACAATGGAATCCCCACAATTCAAAAATTCACTGGCATGTGCCACTAAGAATTATGTTGTGACAAGTGAAGTCAAATAAGGGCATTTCTGACACTAATATTTGTCAGTACCACTAACCTTTCTTTCTTTTAGGAAGCAGTTACACTGCTCAAATCCCCCAAATCCCAGAGCCTTCATACCAGTTTTCCTTCTTTAATTAACTTCTGAAAGCCTGTGGATTTATTTTGATACCCACATTTTCATAAAGGAATTGCTTCCAGTATTACAAAATGGCAAGGCTCCTCCACAGCAAGGTCCAAACAAAAGGATCAAGCCCCAAAACACAGAAAGTGGTTGAATCTCCAAGTTAAGGTCTCTCTAGAACATGAAGGCTTAGCTGGAGAGCTTAGAAAAGCATCCAGAGAGTGAGGACCAGCAGGCTAGATATTCTGGATTAAACAACTGGAATATGATACCCACTCTAGCCCACCATCTCTAACCATGCTTCCTTTGTACTGCTAATTTGCTTACAGAGAAAAAGAAAATATATTTGGGCTCACAACTCTTTCCATATAAGCTCTGCTCTCCCAAATACTACTTTCAACACTGTTTCACTTAATCCCTTTTCTCTAATTTTTCTTCTTTCTAGAATAAGCAGTAACATAACCTTCATATAAATTCTGGGTCTTTATCTCAGGCTGTTTGGCAACTATTCATCATCAAGTGATGATGGATGGGAATGGTAAGCAAACTTATGGCCTGAATTACATTTATGATCTGGCAGCTAGGAAGACAAACAGGCAAAAACCAGGCTAGCAAATACATTTCCTAAGATTTATTTCTGCCACATGGACTAATACCAATGATTCTGGTATAGTGTCAAAAAGCTACATCCCAATTCTTGGCAGGCAGATTACAATGTACAAGTCCAGTGAATTTCCCCTATATCCTAATGTTCAGTGATATGGTATTAAAATTTATCTAGAAAATGTCATTGTTTTAGCAGACTTTTTATTACACTAATAATAAATCTATAGGAAAATTTGTGATTTCAAAGGTAGGAAAAATTCACTTTTCAAATCTATAATCATAAAGGAAATTCACATCACTAATCCCGATGACTAGTGAATCTAGAAGCATTCTGGTTGATTCCTGAAACTTAAGTTTTACATTTAAAGACTAGCTCTTCCACCTCTAAAACTACAGTAATTTCATATCCTAAACTTTACCTTGTAAATCTGAGGAATCACTACGTAGAAATGTTTGTGCTGTTCTCCATTAAAGTTCTGTAACTGTGCCGCATATTCATTTTTATTTTCATCAGCCATATGTGTACGCAGATTCAACTGCTGTTTGGCCTAGAGACAAATTGGTCCAAATAATTACCAACAAAAAAATCATAGCTAATTCACTTTTCTCAAAGTTACATTAAAAACTAGACTTTTTCTAACTATTAGTATCATTTAAATTTTAAGGAGATGCTTGCAGATCTGGCCAGGGCATTCTCCTTTGCAACATTCCCTTTCTCTTATTACAACAGTCCTCCCCCTTGCAATAATCTATTCAAATAAAGTTTCTCCTTAACAAATCCAGATTTTTTTTTCAATTAAATAAATGACAACATTATGGCTTGACTTCAAACAGTATGCTCTTAATCATAAGGGAAAATAGTACTGAAATATTTCAGACAGTTAAAAGTTAGTGAAACATTCCTTCAAACATAATCCACTTATATCCAACTCAGAACCACAGGGAAACCAAATACTGATAAAAATGCTAATTTTGGACAAAGTAATACTCAACAATGATTTCCAACTCTATATAAAACCAGAAGTATTTTAAGGAATGTTTATTTAGAATGCAGTTCTGTTCACTGTAATTTCTTATAGAAATGCTTTTCGAATGAGTCATGTAAGCATCATCTACATTGACAAGAATATCAGAATATAAACTTAACATAAAATCATTAATTCTAGATGTAATGAAGGGGAATCTAAATAAAATTCTCAATTGTTCTAAAGTAATAAGGAAAAAAAATAAGAATTGAACTCAATTTTTCAGGGTTCCAAGGAATGAATCATGTTCTATGACAGTGCTTTGGAAATTACAAAGCACACTGTGAATAAAGTTTATTATTTTAATTCCATTTTCTGCAAACGTAGTCTCTAACCTTCCACAAGTTATAGTTCTGAACTCAGAAACAAACTGGCATATGGAAATACATGGTACCCAAGATACTAAATAAGCCCACAAAAATGCATTTAATCCACAGTGTACTTGAAGATTACAATACTTAAGTACTACAGAAACTAAGCACTATGGCCCAAAGTATTTCTACAGAAAAATACATTTGAAGTTCCAACCTGGGACCTTAAATACTCATTCATTTACTTCTTCTCCCTTTCTCCCTGCTCCAATAAACTATCCCCTAGCCACAATGGTTCCTGAACTGTCAGGAGAAACCACTCCTGTTCCAAAGTCACTGGCTATGATTCCCAAAGCCTAAGGAAAATGTACCAGCAGGGTATGTAGGAGTATAACGCTAGAAGCTAATAAAATTTGAAGCCCCCTCTGGTATACTGTGGGCTTCATACTTACTGCCTTCCTTTTTTTTAATATTGTATTTGAATTTTAAAAAATTTTTAATTGTGGTAACATACACAATACACACAACATAACTGACCATCTTAATCATTTTTAAGTGTACAGCTTGGAAGGAGTGTTATGGTATATTCACATTGTGCAACTGCCTTCCTTTTCTTTAGGAAGATCAGTAATTGGCTTGCTCCCTCTTCACCTTTTTTTTTTTTTTAAACCTTTATCAGTAGTTGCTCAACTGAAACTATGTTCCCCTTTCCTCCCTGGTCACTTACAACAGAATTCCCGTTCTGTATTGTCTAAAGCAAACCCTCAAAGTTTTGCAAATTCTCTAAGTAATGGGACTGCAAACAAATATGCATAAGAAAGGAAACTATAAACATTAAAATTCTTGTTAGGTCAAACTATTAAACATGTTATATCTAGATTCCAAAATGTCAAATTGGTCTCTAAAGATGTTTTACAGACAAAATGAAAAAACTAAGTTAAATGAGAGTCCAGTTAGAGTTGCTTAACTTGTCGCATAGTACATAAACTACGTATTCAATGTTTGGTAATGAGTCAGAGTCCTTAAGGAACCAGTATCAACTAGCAAGGAAATCTCCCCTGTATATAATAGTGTTATTTCCACCTGTTGGGTGCACGTTTTTAATCAAATAATGGTAACATATTATGTGCATGACATGATGCTAGGAAGGAAATGAATATATCGATGATCAAAATCAGGATCCAAAATTCTTAACAGCAGGTTAAGTCTAATAATTGATACAGATGGACATATGCATTTAAAATACCAACAGTACAAGTTCCGAGACACATGTCCTCATACCACACCATATTTGAAAAAACATAGGTTTAACCATAAACTCATTGGGAGTCCATCCAAACAATGTGCCCCCCCAAAAAATCGATATCTATTTAGCCTTAATTAACATAAATTTGGTGTTCAAAACAAGGCAAGTCATGAAACTCAGGACAGATAAAACTCATACCTGGATTATTACATCCAATCAGAAGTAATATAATTTAAGTGGGATACTGACGAATTAACAGGTATCCAAAGAAAAACAGTCATAAGGAAATGCTAGAGTTGGAAAAATTAAAAAAAAAAAAAAAAAAAAAAAAAAAGAACAAACTGCCTTAAGATTGTATTTCCAACCATTAGGAACTTACTATCATTAGAGGTTTAAAGTCACTAAAAAACAGGTTAAAAAAAAAAAGCTTTACAAGTTATACCAGAAGGATTTTAAGGTAATTGCAAAACCTGTATTTTATATATTTTTATAGGTTTTAAGTGGTAAGGAAAATGGAATGCAGAAAATAAATTACTCCTCTCTTCCTTCTTACTTTTTTCTTGTTCTAATCCTATAGAGAATTATCCTAATTTGAAAATATACCTGTTGGGCCTTTGCATATACAAAAATGTGGAGTAAGGTTCACCTGTTATTTCAAAATCTCCGTATTTCTGCTCTATCATTATGTCAAATGTTCTAAGATAAAGAGCATACAGAGGGAAGAAGGAAAAGCTAAACAGCGATAGTTATAGGGCTGATCCTACAAAGTTTCATTACAGAACATCTGATCCAGGATCAGTTAGTGACAAGAGATTTCAGTTTCCAAAAATGAATGAGTAAATAAATGAGCGAGTTGAGTGAGTGAATGAAACAAAGACAAATAGTTAACATCACATACCTCTGGCAGTTTGATCTTGTTTTGCCATATGTCAAGTTGGGGAGGCATATTACCCAACCCCTATTTGCACAACCCATCAACTTACTTGAGATTTTCTCTTCTGTTTTGGAATAAGATAGAAACTCAATTCTCAATAGCAACCATGTCTTTTCTATGCATTCTGAATGCAGTTAAGACATTACAATAAAGTAACACTTATTACTTTCTCAGACTAACTTATGATTTGAAGTACACAAATATTGGTATATTTTAATTTCAGACATAGTGTTTCTCTTGGGGAAACTACCAATACAAATATTGCAACTACCCCTCCATGTGCAAGGAATAATATTTTGATATCAAAGTTAGTTTAGATTATTTCTTACCTTTTCAACATCTGCCTTGGTTGCATTAGTATCATTATCCAATCTTTCATAACTCTGTTGTGCCTTTTCTGCCTCTCTACATTCTCTTTCAAATTTCTTTTTACTCTGTTTAAAAAATTAAAATAACACACTGAGAAATAAAATTAATTTATCTCATTAAAAAATAACTTTAAAATGCTGCCACCACATAGAATCACACTAAAAATAAAACTTTTCTAAATGAGAAAAGAAATGTTATTAGTATTCAATCAATCTATGTGACTTAAATTATCAGAATATAAACTGTGAAGAAAAAAATCATAGAGCATGACTGGGTTAATATTATATCATTTACCAATAAAAAAAATCACATCTATTTTGTGTTTTTTTTTTTTTTTTATTATAAGCTCACTTTCAGCTGGACTTGTTTGGTTTCTTTGGTTTTTGTGTTTGGTTTTGTAGGTTTCTTTGGTTGGCTGGTATTGGTGATTGTTTTTATTCTTTTGTGGTGGGATATGGAAATGTCCCTCCAAAGCAGCTTCTTATTGTTTCTTCCAGGTGTCCCAGTAATACCATTAGCCCAGAACCGGGCCTTTAAAATTTTTACTTAATTCAAATTACTATGACTTTGTAAAAGCTATTCACTACAGAGCCATGCGATATGTACCATATTTCCTTTCTCGCATACTTCTTTTTTTATTCCTGGATTTAATTTGTTTTTTACCTTTGCTTAGTTTTCAACATATTTTTTTTCTAATTCCACCCTAGTGTACACAGTTATTTAAAAATCTCTCCTCAGTTAATTCAACATATTCAGAATTCTATCCATTTTATTTTCTTAATGAAATCTCTTCCAAAGGCTTTGACCTACTGAAATTTGGACTGCTTACACAAACCAAACCTATTGCAAAGTTGCTACTTAGAAATTCCGTTCATTATCACTGCAGAGAATCCTTTCACCTCCCCTTGGTTTTGAATCTTCTAATTCCCAATTCCATACCTTCCTCTTTTCTTGGTTCATTTCCTTTTTTGCTAAAACACATTCAGCAGTAGCTTCCTAAAAGATTTGAGGGATATAACTTTCTATGTTTCTATGGCTGAAAAATACCTTTACCATCACTTTCAACTGATAAAATTTGGCTGAGTATGAAACTGTTGGGAATTGTCTTCTATCAGAAATGTAAAAGTTCTAACTAATCCACTATCTTCTAGCTTCCTGATCCCATTCTGATTCCTGATCCTTTGCATAAAACATACTTGTTTTCCTCTCTGGAAGCTGGGAGGATCTTCTCTCTCTCCTAACTGTTTGATATTTCATAAAGATATGTCTTGCGTGAGTCCACTGTACTGAGCACCTAGAAAATCCTTTCCATCTGTAAACTCATGTCTTTCTGTTCTGGGAAAATTTTCTTGAATTATTTTTGTCCATTTTCAATGTTTTTTTCTTTTTAGAATGCTTACTGTTTTGAAAATGAACCTACAGGATGAACTCTCTACTTTTCTTATATTTTCCATTTCTGTCATTCTGCTCTACTTTGAGAGATTTCTTCAATTTTATTTTTTCTAGTTTTTCATTTCTGCTATCCTAAAGTTTTTTTTGTGTTTCTTTGACAGGACCTTATTCCTAGTTCACATAGTATCTTCTCTATTCTCTTTCAGAGTATTAATAGTGTTGCAAATGTTTTGCTTGTTTTTGCAATTTTCTATTTCCTTTCACAGTCAAAGGAAAGCTGCACCCCCCTCCCCATATTAGTTTTGGTCTCTAGTATTTACATTAGATGTTTTCTTTAAATGTCTTAGGATTCTTCCTTATATGTTCTTATTTTAAAAGCCAACTGAAACTTCTGCAGGTAGAGATTGTGCATTATTGTCTCTTCTTCTAGGGTATTATGGCAAGGCAGTTTTCCTGGAAAAACCTATATTGCTACCTTTAAGTCTTTCCTCTCAAGCTGGTTAGATTCCCAGAGGAGACTCCTCAATTTCTTACCTGGAAAAACATATTCCTTGCTACCTGTATTCTGAGAATCATTCAGAAAAAAGCAGAGGATGTCAGTATTTTCTATATACCTAACCCCTTATTAGAACAAGTTAGATGCCAATTTCTTATCTTGGGAATTACAAAACTATACAAGGGACAAATCTGGGTTCCAAACCTCCTAACTACAAGGTCAAAGGTTTAAATTTTTCACAAGGTACCTCCCCTCCTTTGACTTTCAGATAGAGACAAGTTTCTTTGCTGCCTCCCTCGGCCAGTGGCCAAAGTTTTTATAGTCTGCTAAAGGGTTAGTCCCTTTGAAGGTTCAAAATTTTATATAGGGATATCCGTTCCAACTCTCTACAACATACAGAGCTAAAACACCATCTCTGTCCCTGTGTATTAAAACTTAAGCCCTTAGCAACAAGGTCCAGTAAACCACCACACCCCAATACCTCTGCCTCCATTCTTCAAATGCCATCATATCAGATCATACACCTACTGTTGCGGCTTCTAGTTTACCCTTAGTTTCTAGCAATTGCAGATTCCCCTTTCTCTCAGCTCTAAGAAGTTAAAATACAATAAAAAATATTTTAGCTATTATATCTAGGTATTTGTAGCTAAGACATTTCTGAGTTAGCTCAGATCGCTAACTAGAACCAGACATACCTGTACAATTTACAGCAAATAAATATGCTCAGAAATTCTATAAAATTCTTTAAATGTACTATTTTGATTAGTGTAAAACATCAAATGAAACGTACAATTTATTCAAAGCACATAAATATATCTGAATGCACATATTATTCAGTGTCTCTATTAAGATTAAATTTCCACATTAAAAATAAACTTCCACATTTACTTCTCTGGAACTCAGTTCAGAGTAGTTTTTTCTTTTTTTAAGGATTTTATTTATTTATTCATGAGAGAGACACACACACACACAGAGAGAGGCAGAGACACAGGCAGAGGGAGAAGCAGGCTACATGCATGGAGCTCAACGTGCAACTTGATCCCAGATCTCCAGGTTCATGCCCTGGGCTGAAGACGGCACTAAACTGCTGGGCCACAGGGGATGCCCTACAGCAGGGTTTTCAAACTGAGTAGCTACAGGCTACTAATTTTGTTGTGAAGCTACTATATACAAAAGTACTTTTATATTAGGTGTCCTATTATTTGTGAAAAAAAACCTATTAATTTCACTGCAACAGCAAAAGAATCACTAGTACAATATTTAAAAACTACTAGTACAGTAATATTAAAAATACTACTTCCTGAAAGACATCATTATACAATACAGGAATATACTCCAAAAAAGACTCTTCTTCCTTCATCATTTGTGTGACAAACCAATCAACAGCCACTGCTACTCCCTACCCTTTCTTGGAAGAGCCCATCTCCCAGTGTAAAGGCTGAAAATATCTGATACTTGTATTTCCAGCCTCCCCACAGCTAGAGCATGGTCAAGTAATCTAATCCTGTCAAAGGCACCGCTTAGGAAGTCCGCTGGGGATTTTCTGAAAGTTTTCCCGCTCTGATAAAAAGGAATAGTTAGAAGAGAAATGAACCTCTTTTTCCTGCTTCTGCATGCAGCTGAATGAGGATGTGGTGCTTGACAGCTTGACTGTTGGCCATAAGGGGACAAGCCTGAGAAAAAAAGCCAACATGGTCAAGACGGCAAAGCAGACACAGAAAGGAGAAGCGGCTTTAGCGACATCACTGAGCTACTGATCAACTCTGGAAATGCTGCATTTCTGAGCATTTCTTATAAATTTTCATGCTCTGTTACCTGAGCCGCCTGACAGACCTGGCATCTCTGATACTTCTATCTTGGTAATCTCTCACCATTCCTTCAAAATCTTCTTTGCAGGCTACTCTTTTCTGCCCTCATCTTAAATGCCAGTGTGGCCTATTTTCATTATCCTGGGGTTAATAATTGTCTTTTTAAACTATGTTCCTCAATTTCAACACTCTGTCACTAATTCAGCCTGTGTCTCCCACTTCTTTAAATCTCAATTATTTAAAAAATGTCAGGAATTTTATTTTCTTGATTAAACAGGAAGATATAGAACTAAGAAATGGGATCCTGCACATATTTCTACATATTCCACAGGAATCCTATTGTCTGTCTCCCTTACTAGACTGCAGGCTCCACAAAAAAAGGACTATGTCACTATTCACTTTTTATTTTTCACTGTTTACTTTTGTACCAGGACTCAGTACATGTCAAGGATGCCTTCAATAAACATGAATTGAGCTGAACTTACCTTTAATGGTATTTTTAATGCCTTAAAGAAATCACTCCCACTTTTTTTTTTGATGCTTTTTTCTTATGACCTCTCTAACTTTTGCTTAGTAACTGCCAATTGTTCTGAAGTCAAGTCAGCACAGATTAACAGGAATAATTTGTTGCCAACACAAGTTTTTAAAGGGACCAGTGACTCATGAGTATAGTAGTCTATTATTATGTGTAAATGAAAACACACATACATATACACTCATTAGATGGCAGATACTAAGAATGCTAGCTAAGGTAATTTAAAATTTAATAAATGTAAACAGTATCTAAAAGTCTTGTCAAAACCAATTAGAATGAAAATGAAAACAAAAATGAAAGCGACAATTAACATAACTAAGAATTCTCAATCAGCACTGGTACCTAGAATCTTACAACAATGACCTTTATGTAGAACTTTAATCTTAGAATATGTGATTTTAAGAGAAGAGATTTTAAAAGAAAAAAAAAAGCCTAAAACATATATACATGAGATTTTTTATTTTTTATTTTATTTATTTATTTTTTTTAAAGATTTTATTTATTTATTCGTAGAGACACAGAGAGAGAGAGAGAGAGGCAGAGACACAGGCAGAGGGAGAAGCAGGCTCCATGCAGAGAGCCTGACGTGGGACTCGATCCAGGGTCTCCAGGATCATGCCCTGGGCTGCAGGTGGTGCTAAACCGCTGCGTCACCAGGGCTGCCCACATGAGATTTTTTAAATCTCAAACTTAAAAGTACTTTTCCCAACAATCACAAACTAAATTAATTTATCATGAAAAACTCCCTTTAGCATAATTTTCAAGGAATACAGTGTCCATAATAAAAATATCCAAGTAAAGAGTAAGCTGCTTGCTAACCTGAGACATCAGAAAGAATATATTTTTTAAAGATTTTATTTCTGTATTTGAGAGAGAGAGAAAGCGCAAGTATGAGAATGGGGAGGGCAGAGGGAGAGGGAGAAAGAATCTAAAGCAGACCCTGCTGAAACCAAGAGTTGGACACTCAACTGACTGAGCCACTCAGGCGCCCCCAGAAAGAATATTAAACTTATACTACAGCACATCATTTGGTAGAGAATTTTAAGGAAAGGAGTCAACAATGTTCCAAGTAGACATCTTGTTTTTCAAATGACTATATGCCAGAATATTTAAGAAAAACCACATCAGCAAGCCTCTTTGGAAAGTTTGGGGATTTTAAAAAGATTTTTTATTTAAGAGAACGAGCAAGCAGTGGGAGGGGCAAAGGGAAAAGGAAAGAAATCCTCAAGCAGGCTCCTGGCTCAGCTCAATCTCAGAACCTGAGCAGAAATTAAGAGTCAGCCACTCAATCTTCTTAGCCACCCAGGCAACCCCTACCCTTGGAAACTTGTTATAGTAAATAATTATTATGATTTTATAATTTTATCTATAAATACTATCAAATATTTTCTTTCTAAGTTTGAATGGTCTATGATCAGGAGCCCAGTAGTAGGAACATTTACATTATTATAGAATCACTGAACTGGAAGAAACATTTCATATAATCTAGTACACTGTCTTAATTTTTCATACACTAAAGATGAAATCAAAAGAAATTACAAAAGGCAGAACTAGAATCTAGGACCTCTCCATCTCTGTCAAATGGTCTTCTGAGATATATCACTATTTATACCCCCATTACCCTGACCCTCTATCAATATTTTATGGTAACTCCTGAAAGTCAGAAGTATGTTCCTTTTTTTAAAAAAATTCATTTATTAGAGACAGACAGACAGACATGAGTGGGGGTATAGGGCAGAGGGAGAGGAAGAAAGAGAAGCTGACACCTCACTGAGCAGGGAGCCTGATGGCAGGGCTCGATCCTAAGAGGTCAGGATCACGACCTGAGCCAAAGGCAGATGCCTAACCAACTGAGCCACTCAGGCAACCTAGAAAGTATATTCCTAAACATTTACAGTTATCTGAAGGTTACAGATTTGGTACAAGTATAGAACATGTAGAACAACAACAACAAAAAAAGACAAAATGACCTTATATTCTCTATTTACACCAATGTCAAATATGAATAAATACACTGAGAAATATTAAACTCAAAAGATGTAAAGTCTGAGAGAATCTGGAGCTAAACTAGTCTACAAAATTTTATGTTAAGCATGAAAACACTATAACTCACATTATCCATCTGTTTCCAGCACATGTCAAGGTATTGTTGAGCTTTCCGTCCCTCTTGAAGATGCTGAAGGTCATAACCAAAAAACAAATAAAAAGGACAAAAAATTAATTTAAATAATAAACGTCTAAATCCCCCCCAAAACCTTTATTTTTTCACTGTATTCTTTCAGGGTACTAATTATATAACTTTATCAAGACTTAGGAAGAGATTATTAGTAAAGAAAAACTCTCTAAAATACATTTATAGGTATTATATGAATACTTTAAGTATATCCTTTAAGACAGATAAAATCTCTAGAAAAAAATATATGATTTGTCTTGAATGGGGTAGACAAATGTTTTCTACGAAGGGTCAGATAAATATTTTAAGTTTAGCAAGCCATGTGGTCTCTTTTACAAATATTCAACTTTGCTAATATAAAACAAAAGAAGCCACAGTAAATACATAAGTAAATGAGTGGGTCTGTTTCAATAAAACTTTAGTTATAGAAAAGAAAAAAACTTTAGTTATAGTCACTGAAATGTGAATTTCATATAATTTTCACATGCCATGAAATAGTCTTTTGATTTTCTTTACAACTATCCAAAATATACAAATCATTCTTAGCTCACAGGAACTAAGAAAAACGATAAGCTAGATTTGGCCCATGGAGTTGTAGGTTACCAAATCTTGGTCTTAAATCCAAAAGGATCACAAATAAGCAAGAGTATCCTAAAATAATTTTAGCTACAAGAAATTGAAATAGAAAATCAGTTTATACTGAACATTACTTTAAAAAGCAAAGTAATTATGTGAAAATGTTTCATATACTATGTAACTAGATGAAAACAATAATTACCATTTTTCTTTCAGTTTTCAGATCATGAGCATATCTCATTAATTCACCGTAAACTCTGTGCGCCATTTCTTCTGCTACTACTTCTCGCTGTCCTGCATAGTCATTTAACTCGTTAAGGATGTTAAAAAAGGCTATACACGAGGTAAACCTGATAAAAACATATTAAAAAATGATGAAATTTATATATTTTTTTCTTTAAAAATGTTTTCTGTGAGGTATGGACTGAGCCTGACACTTGACAAATTTTAACATACTCAACCTAACTCTCCACTAGTAGCTCCAAATTAACTTTGTATGAAAAGAATATCACATTTAGCTCCAGTTGTATATGTTTGTATATCTTCAAGTAGTCTTAACTTATAAATAAAGGAATATATGGGGTCAAAAAATAATAAGAATACTACCTGCAGGCTCTTTTGGCATACTGGAATCTCTTAAGTAGCCAACTGACTGGCCTGAGCTGGGGAATGAACTTGGATTCCTAGGACTGGCGGCTGAACCTGGTGCAGAGATGATGTGCTTGCTCTCGAGGACAGAACCTGCCAATCATACCACTCAAATGCATCTCGATGGCTGATCTACAGAACAATTTTGCTATCAATTCTGGACACGGCTGCTTGTATGCCTGCCCACATCCTGAATGGAAGTAAAGTGCCATTTTGGTTGGCATCAAAGAGGGGTAAGAAGGGGCAAAAATAAGGGTAAAAAATGTGTGTGAAGGGAAGGAGAGAAACAAAGAAAATTGCTGTATTAAAATGTATAGATCTACTCTGAATACACTGCCCGAACACTCTTCCAGCTGAAGGCAAGTAACTCAGATAGGACTCCATTAACATTAAACCTAAGAATCCTAACAACTAACAATTATACATAAAGCTGTATTAAGTATTCTCTTATTCTCTTATTCTCTCTCTGTATTCTCTTCTTTCTGTATTTTAGAGCCATCCACATATCCCTGTGTTTAAGACTACCAAAAAGCTCATAAGCCAGTCCTAAATTTTTATTCAGAGTTCCAAGGTTACCCTGAAAACTTCATTCCTTCCTTTTCATTATCTCTTTAAACTAGCCAGCCAAACTGTTTTAATATCTATTAGAGTAAAAGCAAGAATCTAACAAGCTAACAACTATAACATAAAGTATGGGGAAAATATCCTTTTCAAGACCAAATCACTCAAAGTCTTAGTCCACATTTTACTTGGAAACCCATACTTCAACTATTTCGGAAAACTGAGCCCACTGAAATATTCATTCTTATTAGAATAAATAGTTAAAAAAAAAAAAAAAAGAATAAATAGTAGTTCCTATTCAAAAAACTGTGATTTTTTAATTAAAACTTTAAAAAATCATTATAAAGAGCTAATAGCATATTTATTTCACTAAATAACAAAAATGTAAGCTTTCTAAAATTATAATATACTGTAATAAACAGGTACAGAATTTACCTTGGTTCTTCATCTTTGGAGGAACGTTTGGGACAGTACTTCTTAACCAGATTTCTACAAAAGGAAAAAAAGATTTTAATGTATAAAAAATACTACTGTCAAAACTGATATATTCTAAAAGTTGCCAATTTCATAATATCAAAAATTTAATGATATAAATAAGACAGCAACATAATCATCTACTATCATTAACATGTGATCCTTACATTTTGTTCTTAAAATATTGAAACTTGCAAAAAGAAATGTTATTTCTGTGTTTGTGTAAGTGTAATCGCAGTAATTTGGATGATTATGCTATCAAATAAGAAAAGATGTAAGAGGAAGAAGAGAAGAAACAAAGTACAAAGAACAGAAGAAACAAATTTCAATGTATGAAATTGAGTCACAGCAGAAAAATGTGTATTTCAAAGAAATATCACTTTTGTGTTGCAAATCAGGAATTTTAAGATGAACTAAGGTAACAAACAGATGCTGACTCACTAACAGGATAAAAGAACAGTAGGTCAGCATCCTCCATCACTCTGCTTTTACATAATACTTAACATTCTCCCTTTTAGGCAAATTAATTACATTAATACTTGTAAATTTCTTTTCCTGCATCCATGATCATTCTACACAGTCTCAGACTAAAATACTACCTCATCTCATCTTTGCAAACTCAGGAGACTATAACATGGACTCTGAAATCAGATTGGACTACATGGGTTTGAGTCCTAGCTGTTTTGTGTGGCATCCATCTATGCGTCCTTGGGTAATTTACTTGCCTGGTTTCTTATAAGTGGCAAGATACAATACAGGGTTATGAAAATTAAAGTGGATAATATTTGTAAAGGATTTACCAGTGCTTTTTACCATTCTCAAAATATGGTCAATGGACAAGTAAAGGCCCACAAACTCTCTTTGTACCAATCCACAAAAAGCTAAGTACACAAGTTGAGAGTAATTTTATGTTTGTTGAATCTAATAAAAAAAAAAATTGGTGCCTATATTTTATATCTCTTTTTATGTCATTTTTCTAGTAAACTTTTACTGTATTTTACAAAAGCATTAATGCACAATGACTTGGGAACTTAAAAAGAAACTAGTCCATCAACACAAATAATGAGATATACTGCTTTAACCTATAAGCATTTAAAAAATTAATGGGCCTATGGTTTTTCAAATAAATACTTCAAAAGAATCGCTGTCTTAATTGTTTTGAAATCATTATCGATTCTTTCCACTTAATTCAGCTTATTCATTCTATAATTACCTACTATATGGTAGGCACCGTGCAAGATACTGGGAACATTAGAAATGAGAGTACCCATGCTCAAGAGATTTACACTCTATTGAAAGGAGATAAGCATATATGGATAATTACAATATAATAGCATAATAAATGCTTTGATGAAGGTATACAAAAGGTGTTATGATAGAGAAGGAAGTCTAATCACCCTGAACAATGGTGGAAAGAACAAGCAAGACACTGAGAAGGGTTAACATGTACTGAGTTAATTAAAAAACTCATAGTTGGGGCACCTGGCTCGCTCAGTCAGTTAAGTGTCCAACTCTTGATTTCAGCTCAAGTCACGATCTCAGGGATGGGCTCTGCACTCAGCGCAGGGTCTACTAGAGATTCTCTCTTTCCCTCTCCCCCTGCCCCTCCCCGTGCTTGCTCTCCCTCTGTCAAATAAATAAATAAAATCTTCAAAAACTTCTCCCCAAAAAAACTCACAGTCATCACTGGTTGTAAATAAGGTACAGGATGAAAGCCTTATGCCTTACATATACCTGTTTACCAAAAGCCTTACTAGAAAGGAGGAGAAGATGGAGAAGAAAGATTCTGAGTTTCTCTCTTCCCGTAATACTTAAGGCTACAACAACTACATACAGTGCAACTCACTCTGGGATGCTCTGAAGACTAGCAGAACACCTGTTCTATAACTAAAGATATACAGAAAAAGCCACATCCAAAAGGAGAGTAGGGGCAAAATCCCATCATGGCAACCCGCAAGCAGTAAAGATATCACAGGTGCAGAAGTCCTCCTTGAGGAGCAAAGGGATGAAGCCCCACATAAAGTACCCTCCCACCGAGGCGATCTGCACAGGGAAAACAAGACCCCCATAACATGTGACTTTGAAAATCAGCAGGACTTCATGGGAGAGCAAGAAGTCTACAGAAAACTGAGACTCTGCTCTTCAAAGAACCAGTGAATAATGTCACAGAGGCAGCAGTTTGAAAAGTGCCTGGGCCATACATGAAGGACATTTATTCGCTAATTCTGGGATGTGTGCACAGGGGCAGGGGTCCACAGGAACGTTCTCCAGGAATGGAAGTGCTGGCAGGTACCATTTTTCTTGTGCTGGTTCAGCCTACTTGCCACCTAACTGGTGGCAGGCACCAGTTTTGAAACTCTCCATCTACTTTGGGAACATTGCTCACCCAGCCCTGTGTTCCCTTGCAGACCAATTGCATTCAACCTAAATGCTCTGGCAGGTACCTCTTCAAAGCAATTCCCATCCACCACATCGAGCAGGCAAGCTCAGTTGGAACCAGCATCCTCCAAAGCAACTGCCACCTTACTACACCCAGCAGGCAGCCCTAGCCAGAAGAGCACCCCTCCAAAGCAATTCCTGTCCTGGGAAGCAGTTGGGGCCCAGTCACCCAACCCTCCAGCCCTTCAGTATGCCTGCAACAGTCACAGCTGGGCCCAGTGACCAGCTATACCAGAAGCTAACCCCACCTACCAGCACACGTACAGCAGGCCAGGTAGGCCTCTCAGCCAGCAGGGCTGCAGCCCAGTCACAACAGGAGGGTGCACAAAACCCACCTGGGAAAATCCCTGGAGTACATGATTCTAGTGACCAGGGAGGATGGCACTACTTACATCCCAAAGAACACTTTCTACATAAGGCCACTGCCCTCAAGACCAAGAGCCAGAGGTGACCTACTATATATATGGAAAAAAACACAGAGAGACAAAAACAATAGAGGAATATGATCCAAATGAAAGAACAGGACAAATAATCTCAGAAAAAGGACTAAATGGAACAGAAAAAGACAATCTATTTGATAAAGAATTCAAAATAATGGTCATAAAGCAGCTCACCAGATTTGAGAGAAGAGTAGATGAACTCAGAATTTGAACAAAGAGTTAGAAAATATTAAAAAAAGAACCGAGATGAAAACTATGAAAAATGAAGTGAAAAATATATCAGAGGAAACAGAAGAATGAATCAACAACCTAGAAGACAGAATAGTGGAAATCATCCACTATTCTATGTTCTAGATTGTCAACAGCAAAAAGAATTTTCAGAACAACAGGTTGGGGTGCCTGGGTGGCTCACTCAGTTAAATATCCTACTTTTGGGGGCGCCGGGCTAGCTCAGCGGTTTAGCGCTGCCTTCCGCCCAGGGCGTGATCCTGGAGTCCCCAGGATTGAATCCCACGTCGGGGTTCCTGCAAGGAGCCTGCTTCTCCCTCTGCCTGTGTCTCTCCCTCTCTCTCTCTATCATGAATAAATAAATAAAATCTTAAAAAAAAAAATCCTACTTTTGGTTTTAGCTCAGGGCTCAGGCCATGCTCTCAGGTCCTGGCATTAAGCCTGACTTGGCCTGGGGGGTAGGGGATGGGGTGGGTGTCCATGTTCAGTGGTGGGGAGTCTGCTTGAGAGTCTCTCTGTCTCTCTTTCTCTCTCTCTCTCCTTCAGCCCCTCCCCCTCAAATAAATATGATCTTTTAAAAAAATAAATAAAAATGAAAGAATAGGTTAAGAGGGTAACATCAAGCTTACTAACATTTGCATTTGCAGGGTCCCAGATGGAAGAGAGAGGGGGGATAAATTACATGAAGAAATAATATCTGAAAATTTCTGTAACTTGGGGAATGAAACAGATATCCAGGTCAAGGAAGGAAAGAAAGCCCATAGGAGATAAACCCAAAGAGGTCCATACCAAAGTACATAATAATTAAAGTGTTAAAAATTAAAGAGAGACTCTTAAAGGAGGAAGACAAAAAAGCAATTAAGTACAAGGGAACAACCACCTAAGCCGATTCACTGATTTTTCAGCAGAAACTCTGTAGCCCACAAAGAGCAGCACGATGTATTCAAAGTGCCAAACGAGGGGAGGGGGGAGGAACAAACCTACAATCAAGAATATTCTACACAGAAAGGTTATACCATTCAGAATTAAAGGGAGATAGTTTCTCAGACAAACAAAAGTCAAAGGATTTCATCACCCCTAAGTGCCCATCAATAAATGAATGTATAAAGATGATGTAGGTAAAAAAAAAAAAAAAAAAAAAGACGATGTAGGTGATGTGTGCACACACTCATTCCACAGGAATATTACTGTGTGAATATTATATAATTAAAATATTAATATTTTTATGGCATCATAAAAAAGCACTAATATCTTGCCATTTGTAACAACGCAGGTGAACCTAAAGGATATTATGCTAAGTGAAATAAGTCAGAGAAAGACAAATGCCATATGATTTCACTTGTATGTTTAATCTAGAAAAAAGGAAGAAAAATGAACAAACAAAACAAAACAGTAACAGTAATAAATACAAAGAATAAACTAGTAGTTGCTAGAGGAGGGGATGGAGGAGGTAGGTGAAATAGGTGAAGGGGGTTAACAGACACAAACTTCCACTTATAAAATAAGTCACAGGGATTTAAAGTACAGCATAGGCAAGAGAGTCAGTTATACTGCAATAACTATGGAGACAGATGGTAACTACACTTATAGTGAGGACTGTTCAATGTATATAAATGTTTAACTCATTATGTTGTATACCTGAAACTAATATAACATGTCAAATATACTAAAATTAAAATTTAAAAGGTTTATTAATATTTAACACATTACTACACTAGTACAAGTATATTATTTATAAAAAATTGTGAACAGTGTTCAGTTTTTACACGTAAGCAATAAAAAGTTCACAGAGATCCTTGGCCTAGAGAAATCAACTATATAAAACACTTTTACATAACATGCTATAATAATAATAACAGAGGGCTCTATAGAGGAGATTCTCCAGAGGAAAAGGCTGAAATTTCTGAT